CTTCCCGGTGATATTCGGGAAAAAGAGCCAGAGATGAACTTTGATAAGGACATCGACTTGCTGACAAGGCCGGCGGTTAAGCACGAGATCGCTGAAAATTCTAGATAAAAAGTGTTGGTGTCTAAACACACAAGACGTGCTTTCGGAACCCACCTGTCAGTGATAAGGTCCAAACAAGTCTGTAAGGCAAAACAACCGATCCTTTCTGTGAGAGTTCCCACTTCAGAGCCCCGGTTACTCTTTTCTTACGCATACGACTCACACCGCTGAGTTCGCATGATCCTTCCACACGATCTATAGTGGATCCAAAGGCTGGCCATATTAAGAGCCAAGGAAACAAAACGACTTTTAACTCAAGGCGCATAAAATATCCAGTGGTCAACGAAAATTGATTCAAATGATGGAATTAACACTTCATCCCCAAAAATGCTGAAAGAGTCACCTCAAAAATTCAACAGAAGTACAACTCTCAGTGTCCAAAAAGTCTATATTTTTCACTTAACTTTGACAGAAAGGTTTCGCAAAAAAATAGGAACAACAGCAGCATTTACAATTAATTAACTAGAAGAGGCTTTAGGGAGTTGGACAGACAGTTTACTTCGAAATAGTCGACCAGAACCACACCAAGTGAAGAATTTTTACGAACAACTCTCAAAGTTTATGTAAACCGCAAACGATGTTTGAGGTGATAAGGAAGGCAAGCTATTCCCCAAAGCTGTACTATCGGCGTTCCCGCTGATGAACACCAAAAAATAAATAGTGAAAATGTTCTTGAGATGTTTTAGAACAAGCAAATCGTCATGCATCCATCCTTTGGAATGGTGAAAGATAGTCCGATATACAGTTAAACTGTGACCAGCTGCTGTCTATTTCAATTTAAATCAGACCATCTTAGAGCTTTCCCGTTTAAAATCCCATTCTCCTTTTTTTCTGTATCAAAGAGCGACAAACGCCAATGCAACCCTTGGCCTGTCGTCTATGGAATAAAACAAACATGTCCATTGCAAAAACCTGCATATATATAGAGACGAAAGTTTGATCGTCTTAATGCTAGAGCCGCACCCCGGACAGCGAAATCACGACAGTCTAACAGGTTAGGAGCTATGTGAAAAACCGAGATGCACCACGAATAGACAGCCGTCGCCTTTTGAGGAAATGGACGAGGTCGCGGATTCCTGTCGCCGACCACGATGCCAGCCAAAGACTCGGGACATCAACGAGTTAGTTGACGACAATAGGCGAGGGGTTGATTAGTCAGAAAATGCGGCAGAGAAGGCAGGTCGTGCCTTGATCCCCAATTTCAACTGTAAACGGTCAACTGGACTCAAGTTTCTGATTAAAAATGAAAAGGTTTCCAAGCGTAGTCTCAATGCAACCTCGTGGAAACAACTGTGCGGCTGTGCACGCCTCCGCGCGATGCACAAACGTTGTGCACGACATTAAACATCGCGAAAAAGTGCAACGTGACAGCGCTGGTGTTTGCAGACACGTTCAAAGGTGCCTAGACCGAAACAAATATTTCCGCCTACGTTCAGTTTACATTTTTTCCGGCTGCATTGCAGAAGGCCAATGTGGACCAGTTCGAGGTCGTTCGTGTACATCCAACCAACAAGTCACCTTACAAGTGGCCGACTACGTCTTTTCCCAATTACTCTGAACTCATCAGCCTCGTAAAACAAGATGCTTGCTCTAGTCTTGACAGCTCACTCATAAATCCGAACCAAACTGCTTAAAGCGTCGTGATTACTTTCAAGACGCGATTCCCGCTCAGAAGATCTACGCAAACGTGGTCAGTTACCCCGTGTAAAGGTACATAGCACTCGCTGACTATCGATTCTCCCAAAGAGATGAATTGCACAAAATGTGAAGCGACAATACTAGACAAGAAGTTGTTATGAAGTGACGGCAGGCCGCCAAAATAACTTGTACGTAAGTTTTATTCCATCCATGATCTAAAGTCATCCTCACTTGGGAAATACCGCGAGCAAATGAAAATGAAAACGCTTTTTTATTTCCAGGAAAACTGAAGTTCTAAAAGGGGGCATGCGTCGGGATGCCAAAACTTTCCCTAGGGCAAGAAGACGTAAATAAAAATGTGGTCAAGGCCGCTAAAATCTACAGCATCGCACAAGGCGTCTGGAAAATCTGAAGTCCATACAATAGCCAAAAATACCCGTTAAAAGGTTGTGCGTACGAGGAGGAATGTACTATTATCAAAGAAAAAGCATTGAAAGGGCGAACACTCACCACCTGCTGGGAAAAAAACGCGTCCTTGTGACCTGTGATGGCGTAGACGGCGCAGCAAGACTGCAAAACACCTATTGGTTACGGCAAAACCAATTGAATGACTGAGCAACTTGGTCCGGGCAAAGGCTTTATTTCAGCCATCGCACGGTAGCCAATAAGAAAATGCCCGTTGTTCATTGGTTCATTAGTGGACGTCGTTCGGTGGTTGGTTATGCCCTCTCCCCTGCACGGCGGATGATTCAGCTATCTTTCCTTTCTCACGAGGGCATTTGCGCGGATCTTGCTTACTATCTGCGGGGGCCTACTTTAGGTTGGATGCAGAAATGTGAACGTTTTTTATCTTTTCTTGGCCACGCTTGCCTCCTTAGCGTTACATTAATTTATTTCTCACTTTCCTTTGGACTGTTCACTATGAAGCAAGCCTTCTTTTGATTGAAAACAAATCACCAAATGGAGCATTCTTGTTTGAAGCAGATTTTACTATGTACTCTGCAAAAATAAGATCGTAAGCTCCAAAAAAGAATGGACACATTCGAAAGAAAAGATCTAGGGTAAGAATTTCTAGGTTAGTCCCTGAGTTGAATATAAGCATTTTATTTGCATTCTACAAACATCTGCGACAGGGACCTCTTCTATTCGAATTCAGCTTGCAATTTGGGAAATTTGCTTTCGACTTTGACTCGCGAAGTGAGCTTCTTCTGCGTCTGTTAACATGCATTCATGAATGCAAAGCCAGTCCTTAATCAGCCAGACTGCGCCAATGTCGAACTGTGTAAATACAACATTAATTTATGACCAAATTCTGATGATTTTGGCTAACTTGACCTGAATATTAAGTAAAGTA